CCCCCAAAACCCCAAAACCCCAAAACCCCTATAAATTTCATAAATTTTGATATTATAAAATATGGTAACTTTGGATCAATAATAAATTCTTAAAGACTTGGGCTCTAGAGCTTCCTCTTATGTGAAATTAGGTAAGCACATCGACAATAGTGATTTGGTGGCTTTGAAGATCATCAAGGACAGTGATTCTCGGAACTGTTACTCTGCCGCGACTTTAAAGACCAAAATAGAGATTATGAGTGATATTAACCACCCCAACATTATTAACATGCTAAATAGCACCGATGGTTGTACTTTGAAAGAAGCTAGTGGGGATGTCAAGGATAAAGTGTTCTACTTAGCTTTAGAACTTGCTTCAGGTGGGGAACTGTTCGATTTCATCGCCCAGAATGCAAGCTTCTCAAAGCCTGTAGCAAGATTCTACTTCCATCAGATAATGGATGCTTTTGAGTATCTACACTTAAAAGGAATTAGCCATAGAAACATGAAGCCTGATAATATTATGTTTAACAAAGAATTCAACCTGAAAATTGCAGATTTCGGTTTGAGTTTTAAAGCTGCTACCAATCAGTCCTTTAAGAGTACGGGAACTACATGGCTCAAGATATTCTAATTGGCGGTGAGTACCACGGTCAGATGGTAGATATTTTTGCTGATGGAATCATTCTTTTCATTATGGTGACCCAGATCCCTCCATTTCAGATGACCCATCCCTAGGAAGGTTGGTGCAAGTTTGTATGCTCTGATAAGATAAACAAATTCTAGGAGTATCAAGTGCAGAATCATCCAGGAGTAATAGAATTGTTCTCAAAGAGCTTTATTGACTTGGTAAATTAGCTTTCAACTTCAATCATACAACTAGGCCTCCATTATCCTAGATCAATATAAGAGTGATACACTGGGCCAGTCATGATTAAAGATGAAATTACTTAATAGTTTACTAAGAGTCAAGCTATGCTAGATCAATGCTCTAATGATACATTCTCAGAAGCCGATGTTGCACAAGGAGTCTATGATTCTAAATTAGTCCACAGAGGCGTCAAGGAAATGTTGAAGAGCCCTCGACTCTTCCAGTACTCCACATGAAAGAGGTTGAATGGATTGCTTGTTTGGGTTACCTTATTAAATTCTTTTCCAAATTTTCTTTGGAAGAGCTCTTAACTACTATTGGCCAATTTGCTATATCAAAATCGAGCTATTACAAGTTTTCAGCATTGGAATATTCAATTATTATGAATATCGCTGATAATAGCGAACAGAGAGTTATACTTCAAGATAGCATTGCTGTAAACTTTAGGATTGAATTAAAAATCTAATTTTTAATATTTCTATAATCTTTCTTTGAGAGAAACTCTCGGAAAATAATAGCATGATTATTCAATATATCAGATGTTGAGATATCTTAAATATGCCAGATTTGTTAAATAATACCCCTGGAATCTTCTAGTTAATACCTATTCTCTCCAATCTTTGCTGATACAATATGGATGCTGACGATAACAATCATCCTATTGAATTAACCAAGTTAGCAGGAGACAGATTCCAGTTCAAGGATATTTATAAAGAAATCAAGGGCTTGTTCGGAGGCCTCATCAACACCACTGCATAATTTAGCATATTTAATTTCGAAATAGAAATCTATCAGAGGAAATTATTCTGATGCACTTTATGATCACCTCTTGAGAAACTTTTCCTGTTTATTAATTATGCACTTCCATATACAGGAAGGAGTAATTAATTTGGATAGAGTAGCATAGCCACGTCTTAAAGAAAGACACTGGTTTAGCTTAATATTCTGATCATAATTTTTATATTGAGCTCAATTAAAAAATGTTTAAAAGGGGTTTTGGGGTTTTGGGGTTTTGGGGTTTTGGGGTTTTGGGG